CCGGCCCTGCCACCCCGGGAGGGCATGACCTGGCCGACAGACAACCCTGACCTACTTCTCATTCAAGTGGCTTCTGGGTGGCTGCCAGGGCGAGTGTCCTGCGGCCGCAGCGCCTGGCCGCCCGGCCCTGAGGGAGGGCTTGAGGGTGTTTTGGGAGCTGCCAGAGCTGGGCAGCCCCCATCTGAAATCCCTTCGTGTTCTCCTGCTCTAGTTCGATGACTTCTCCCGGGATCTGTGTGTCCAGTCGCTGCTGGAGATCATGGACATGTTCTGTGACCGCCTCAGGTATGACGTGACTGTTCCAGTGCTGCCACCTCGATCCTGGCTGTGCCATGGGCAGCACTGGGAGCTGGTGGGGGCTGGCTGATCCCAGGATACTCACCCTGGCAGTTAAGGGCAAATTCCCCCTCCAGCTCCCATTCCCAAGTTGCCACCAGCAAGGGGAGAGCAGAGGGAATCCAAACCCCACCAGCTTCATGGGAAGCTGCAGGAAGCCCCTGCCCCTACTCTGGGATAAACCTTGCTGTGGTATTCCTGCCCTGCTCAGGTAGGTGGGGTGGGTGTAAGCCCCATGGCCCGAGGGTCTCTGTCCCCTTGGAGTGTTTCCTTTCCCTCTGCAGCTTTCCAGGCCCTGTCTGCATGTCCCTGTCTGGTCCTGCCTGCGCTGCCCCAGGCGCTGCCTTGTTTTGCTTCATGCTCTTCCGCTGGTGTTGCAGGACCCAGGGGAGTCCAGACAATTCAGGCCACAAAAACTTTTTTAGAAAGCTCAGAAATCTTCCTGTTAACCCCTGACAGCCTCTTCTGGGAGGCCAGAGGGACAGAGGGAGGAGGAAGGCTGAAGGTAGCAGCCCTTCAATGAAATGAAATGAAGCAGCAGCAATGAATATGCATCAGTGACAGATGTTGACAAGGAGCTGTCGCTGGCCAACTGCAGAGCCGGCCCTTAATCCGCTCCTGCCTGCTCTGATCCTCTGCTTAATTTGATCAAAACTTCTGGCCCCGATGATTTGTGCATCAGGAGGGGAAAGCGTTCACCTCTCGCAGAGCACTGATCGATGCTGAGCCTCTCTTAGCAAGATAATTTGATTAGAAGCTTGGAAAGTTTCCCTGTAGTGGAGTTGGCCAGCGAGGAGGCTGCACCGGGTGGGGTGGGGGGGTGGGTCCTTCCCCCCAGCACGACGGGAATGCCGGTGGGATGAGCAGGTTGGGATCTACAGCAAAGGAGCTGGGTGGGAGTGCAGGACCTGAGTTTGGGTTCCCCAGCCCACCCCGTGTCTGTGCCTCAGTTTCCCAGCACACAGCGAGCACATTCCCGTTTTCCTCCCCTTCCAGCTGCCACGGGAAGGCTGAGGAGTGCATCAGCCTGTGCCGGGCGCTGCTGAGTGCCCTCACCTGGCTCCTGCGCTGCGCCGCCTTCTACGCCGAGAAGGTGAAGGAGCCCCTGGAGCAGGCGGCGGCCGAGAACCAGCTGAAGATGTGCCTGGAGCGGCTGGAGAAGGTGCTCAGCAGCACCAAGAACCGCGCCCTGATCCACATCGCCAAGCTGGAGGAGACGTGTATGTCCCTACCCCTGCGGAGGTGGCACTGCCACCTCTCCCTTCCCCCTGCCCGGCTCCTGCCGCATTGTCCCTGCGGCTCCAAGCCTATCCATCTTCCAGCCCTGTTGCTGTAACCGTCTCTCCTCCCTGGCTCCGTGCCACCCTCTGCCCCCTCCCCTCCGTGCTGCCCTTGGAAGAGGAGCAGAATTAATGTGGAGGCTGCGTGAGCTGTTCCTGGGCGCGTGGCGAGCCCTGTGCTCTGCCAGCCTGGCACAGCCCCGCGCCTTCGGCTGTGCCCATGTCTTGCCAGGAGGCTGTGCCAGGCCGGGCCTGAGGCAGGAGCTGCTGGGGGCACACAGACACTTGGCTTGGGCTCGCAGACCCTTGATTTGGGCACACAGACCGTTGGTTTGGGCTGGCAGCACCAGCAGGGACCCCCAGCCTCTTCAGCCCCTCTGTGCTGCTGTGGGCCTTGGAACCAGCCTGCCCAGCTTTTCCATGTGTCCCTGTCCCTCTGCTGAATCCCTGCCCTCCCTCCCCAGCCTCCTGGAGCACTGTGGAGCAGTCCCTTGTCAAGCTGGGGGAGAACCTGAACAACCTCAGCACGTCCCCGCTGCGGAGCCAGGCTGACGACTGCGTGTCCCTCATCAAGAGGTGGCTGTGTGCTGCTGCTTTGTGGGCTTGGGGGGCAAAATGGGTCTGAGCCCCACTCTGGCTCCCCCAAACTCCTTACTCTGAGGGCTGAGACCCTCCTGCCTCTCTCCGTGCTGGCTCCCTGCTTCCCTGTCCCTTTTCAGCTTGGATCCCTGCTCTGGCAGTGGGCTGGGGCTGACCAGAGGAGAGGGGACAGGGCAAGTGGTGACCCAGGGCTTGCTCCTCTGGTGACCTGGGGCTCTTTACCATTCCTCAGCTGCTCTGGTCACACCGGAGCTGCCATTCCTGCTCCCTATCACCCTGGAACTGCTCCCAGGTCCCAGGGTCTTGGCTGTGCCTTGGAGATCCCAGGCACAGGTGCTCCAGGCTGTCCTGCCCCAGGGAGACACAGGGCAGCAAAGGTCAGAGGCTTGGCCAGGGAATGAGAGCGGGACAGGAGGAGCAGGAATCTGTCCCTGCAGGGCCCCAGTGACCCTGAGCTGTCCCCTCCCACCCAGCATCCCCACCATGCTCTCGGTCCACTCGGAGCAGCTGAACAAGACCGGGTTCCCCACCGTGCACGCCGTGGTGCTGCTGGAGGGGACCATGAACCTCACAGGAGAGACTCAGCCGCTGGTGGAGCAGCTCATGATGGTGAAGAGGATGCAGGTACAGAAGTGACAGCGTGTTCTCCTGCTCAGGTGGCCTGGGGCCACAGCCAGGGCTCCGTGCTGTGCCTGCCTGTGCTGATCCTGCTCCAAGGGAGCAGCGGGAGCGCATCAACACCGTCGCAGGGGTTCAGGGTTTGGCTGAGGGGGGTGGGGGATGTGCTTTGCTGCCAACCCAGCACTGAGGGGGTCTGTGTGTGTGCCCTGCAGCGCATCCCCTCCCCGCTCTTCGTGCTGGAGATCTGGAAGGCCTGTTTTGTGGGCCTCATCGAGTGCCCCGAGGGCACGGAGGAGCTCAAGTGGACAGCCTTCACCTTCCTGAAGGTAGGGCCCATCCCAGCCCTGCTCTGAGCCCTGTGCCTGTCACTGCCCTTTCCCTGCACACCCGGCTCCTGCTGAGCCCTGAGCTCTGCCAGAGCAATTAGTCCTCCCCCACTGCAGAATGCCCCTTGGGGTGCCCCCACACCCCACAGTGTGCCCCTCAGAGTCCAACCCACTCCACCTGAGCCCGCCCCAGCCCTCCTGCCACCTGCTGAACATCAGCTTTGCTGTCTAGGGGCCTCCTTTCAGCTCAGCCCCACTTTGTTTGGTGGAGTTAGTTTTTCTGGGGTGTTGTAGGAGAAATGAAAGTGAGTAGGTTTAGATTAGATTTTGGGAAGAAGTTCTTCCCTGTGAGGGGAGAGGCCCTGGCACGGGTTGCCCAGAGAAGCTGTGGCTGCCCCATCCCTGGAAGTGTCCAAGGCCAGGTTGGATGGGGCTTGGAGCAGCCTGGGATAGTGGAAGGTGTCCTTGCCTGTGGAAGGGGGTGTAATTTAAGGTCCCTTCCAACCTAAACCATTCCATGATTCTATGCTAAATGTGGCTCTGGGTGGTGGTGGAATGACTCTGGAGGGGAACAGGGGCACCAGGTCCCCTGGGTGCACAGACTGCTCCAGAAATGCTCCTGTCCCTGGGCTGGGAGAGCAGCTCTGTGCAGCTGTGTTGGCCTGGGCTGGTGCTGCTGGGGGGCCCCGGCTGTGGAGTGGGGTCTTCTCCAGTGTCACACCATGCCCCGTGTCTTTCAGATGCCCCAAGTCCTGGTTAAACTCAAGAAGTATCCCCAAGGGGACAGGGTGAGTCTGGAGGGCCATCCATGGGGGCTGTGTGTCACCATGTGAGCTGTGTCACCGTGGGGCCGGTGCCTGGCTGGAGCTCTGTGGGGAAATGGTCTGTGTCCCAAGAACCTTCCCTAAAAGAGCAGGCAGTGGGAGGGGGAGGTGGGGGTGTGCTGGGAGCACGCCAGGCTGAGTGCTGGGCTTTGTGCTCGGCAGGATTTCACCGAGGATGTGAACTGTGCCTTCGAGTTCCTGCTCAAGCTGACCCCTCTGCTCGACAAAGCCGACCAGCGCTGCAAGTGAGTGCTCCCTGTGGCCAGGGCTCACATGTGGCCCCGTGCCACAGCCACCCTGTCCTCGGTGCAGGGTCCTGGCAAGGCTGGTTTAGTTTCTGATCCAGTTCCTCCTTCCTGAGGACCTGGCGCTGCCACATGAGCGAGTGTGTGACAGCTGAGTGTGGGTGATGCTGTGTGACACCCAGAGCTGCTCTGGGCCCTGCAGCATCCTCAGAGGGGTGGGAGCGGGCCCAGGAGGGCAGCTTGGGAGTCCCCCTGCCCTGTGGCACTGCCTGGGGTGGCAGGAATGCTGTCCCTCAGGCTAGGGCTCTGCTCTCTCTTCCAGCTGCAACTGCATAAGCCTGCTCCTGCAGGAGTGCAGCAAGCAGGGGCTGCTCTCCGAGGCCAACAAGACCAACCTGATCGACAAACGGTACAGCCCCTCCAAAGTCTGGGTAACCCCCAAAAGTGGGGCTGGAGCACCTTGTTTTGGGGAGGCATGAGGGAGCAGCTGCTGTGGCTGGGGCCCGGGGGCCCGGGGGAATGGGGCATTGCTTTTGGTGACAGGTTGGGTACAGGTAGAGTCTGTCCCCTCAGAGTGGCAGCTGGTGGTGGCCTGAGGCGGTGGCTTTCCCTTGGGGGTGCCAGTGGGTGGGAGGAGGAAGGAAGGGTGATGGATTCCTGCTCACTGGCCCTTCTTTGGGGTCCCTCAGGACAGCGGACAAAGAAAACTCTCCGTGCTTGAAATCTGCCGAGAATGCCAACATCCAGCCAAACCCAGGGCTCATCCTGAGGGCCGAGCCCACTGTCACCAACATCCTGAAGGTGAGTCCTCTCCTGCAGCCGTGCTGGGCAGGCTGGGCTTGGCCCCAGAGCCCCTTCCCAGCAGTACCAGTCGCACCAGGCAGCTGGGGTGGCTGGGAGGCGCCTGATCTCCCTCTGCGCTGGGGTGGCGGAGAAAAGGAATCACTCCCAGCTTTGATGCTCTGCCGTGGATCCCAGGAGCTCCCCTCCTCCCTCCTGGGAGGCTGGAGGAGCTGTCAGGTGGCATGTCATCAGTGCCAGCAGCCTGAGCCCAGCCAGCTCTGCCCATCCCGCTCAGCCGCTCCCCACGTGCATCTCCCCCGGTCCCCGGGGACTCCCTGTGTCCCCGTGTCACTCTGGTTGTTTTGCTGCTGCTCAGTGACAGGGGATGTTTTTCTGCCAGTACCAGGGGCACGGAGGGCTCCATCCCACCTCCCCCAAACCCTGTGAGTCCCTGCTCCCCAAGCTGGAGTTTTACTGCTGCTCTGTAGCACATGTTCCCCGTGACTTCTCTTTCCTCTTACTTTTTTGGTTGTAGACCATGGATGCAGATCACTCCAAGTCCCCCGAGGGCTTGCTGGGGGTCCTGGGTCACATGCTGTCTGGGAAGAGCCTGGACTTGCTGCTGGCAGCGGCAGCAGCCACGGGCAAGCTGAAATCCTTTGCTCGGAAGTTTGTCAAGTGAGTGTCCACCTGGATGGCACCATCCCTGGTGCCCACGGGGGAGTGGGCAGCCCCCCAAGCTGCCCCCCACACAGGGCTGGATGTACCTCTGGCCCAGTGGAGCACTGGGAGGTCTGGGATCATAGGGAGGCTGCACCCCACAGCACCCCATTTTGCCTCTGCATGAACAGGGCAGAGGATCAGAGCCAGGTTGTTTTGGGGTGTTCAGAGAACTGAAGGCCCTGACAGAGCCCTGGATCCAGGGCTGTGTGTCCCTTCTGTCCCCAGACACCCGTGTCCTGGTTACAGCACACGCACAGCACATGTGGGGCTGTGTGATGGGCTCCCCTGAGGGCTCAGCCCACACCAACCCCCGTGGGTGCACAGGGGAGCTGTTTGGGGGTCTGTGCTCTGAAACCCCCACACAGCTGGCAGGGCTGGCTCTGGGGAGGGCCGTGGGTGTGGGGACGAGCAGCGTGGCCGGACCTGTTTGGCTGCAGGGAGTGGAGACAGGGAGGAGGTGGTTTGTCCCTGTGGTGCTGGAGGGTGTCTGTGGAGCTGGGCCCAGCTTCTCCTGCCCCTCTGTGCTGGGATGGGGTGCAGGGAGGGCTCTGCAGGCAGGGCAGCCTCTACTTGTCTCAGGGGTAGGAATTGGCCTGTTGGACTGATAACGCTTCGCTGCCACTCTCTGCCCCTGCAGGCTGAACGAATTCACCAAGCAAATCACTGGAGAAATCTGTAAGTGTGTGTGTGCTCGTGCAGGGGGGGATCTGAGCTGGGCCCCCCCCACTGCCACGTGCTGGGATGCTCTGGGGCCTGGCTGGATTAAACTGGGACTGGCTGTGGGGCCAGAGTGAACTGAGCTGTGCCAGGCCCAGCTGGGGGTGCTGGTGGGGAGGGGGCACAGGGGCAGTGCCGTGTGGCCAGCGGCTCTGGGTTCTGGACCCACTGCTCTCACGTGTGGTGTTCCATCCAAAATGGGGTGTTCTGCTTGCAGGGGAAGGGCTCCCTCTCCCCAGCTGAGCCTGGGGGCCCCTTGGCTCCCTCCCTGGAAGGGGTGATGTGTCAGCACAGCCCAGATAAGGACTCTGACTCCGTGTGTGTGTGATGAAACTTGTGGAGTGCTCTGACCTTCCATGGTGAGGGGGTGGCCCAGAAGAGGCCAGAGCTGCTTTGGGGGCTCGAGCAGAGGCAGACAGGGTAGGGGGAGGCACTTGGCACATCCTCTCATTTACACACAAGCACTGAAGGGGGGTTACAAAAGCTGCCTGAGGGGAGCAGGTCCTGGCCCCTGCACTCACGGGGTCCTGCCTTCATCCTTGTACTGAGGCTGGAGACCCCCAAGGCCTTTGTTTCTCCTCCCTCAGCCAAGAGCGGCTCAGTGCGAGCCCTGCTCTTCGACATCTCCTTCCTCATGTTGTGCCATGTGGCCCAGACCTACGGCTCAGAGGTAAGGATCCTCTGAGGGGCTGGATCCTGCAAGGGGATGGATGGGGCTGGATCCTCCGAGGAGATGGATGGGGCTGGGTGGGGCTGGATCCTCTGAGGGGCTCTCACCAGAACAGCCTCCTTGCTGCTGCAGCCTGCCAGCCTCCTCTAGTGGCCAGCCTACCCCTGTCCCTGCTGTCCCTTCTTTCCCCACTATCCCTGCAGCCACCACACTGCCTGGGGCACAGCATCCAGTGCCTGTCACCTGGGAATCTGTCCCCGGGGCTCCATGGCCTCTAAGTGGTGGAGGAGGACTGGCTGTCACCTCCCTGAGGGCTTGGACTGTGCTCCATTTGTGGACAGGGGGATCGGTGGGAATGCTGCTTCTGCAGCTTCCCTGGGCTGGCTCTGAGCTCCCTGGGCTTTCCCCAGTGCTGCCCCTTCAGTTTGGCCCTGTTTGGTGTGTGGGGGGGGTCACACAGCCAGATGATGTCAGCCCTCCCCCATCCCAGGAGGAACTCTCAGCCCCGCTCGAGAAACGGCACTTTGGTTGCGTGAAAATTTTTCGAGTTTCAACATCTGTGTGTGTTGGGAGCAGAAACGATACTGAAACACTGGGAATGCAGAGAGGGGGAGAGAGGGGCCCTGCCCAGCTGGCCCTGGGAGCAGGGAGGGGGCTCCTGGCAGGGGGGACGTGCCCGGGGCTGTCCGATGAGGTCTCATCCCCTGTCCCAGTCCTGTGACTTTCCTGCTCAGCTGCTGCTGAACAGATGTGCAAAACTTTTTTTGGACAAAAATAGCATCCCCTGGGTGACACAGGCTGAGAGGAGGAAGTGACATGTGGGATTCCCAGCTCGTGGCCCCCCCCAAGACCCTCCCAGCTGGGCTGTGTGACCCCGGCACTGGGGACCCTGAGCACAGCTCACGGAGGTGGGGGACACGGGACCCTTTGGGGAAGGACATGGTGACCCCAAAGCTGGTCCTGGCCTGGCATCTCTCCTTCTCTGAGCTGGGCCTTGGTCTCCTGGGGAGCGCTCTCGTAATGGGAGAAACCACAGCCCACAGACCGGAAACCAGTGCCTTACTGGGGACTGACCAGTGCCTTACTGGGGGCTGACCAGTGCCTTACTGGGGGCTGACCAGTGCCTGTTTCTCCCTCCGGGCCACAGGGCGGCGCTGTTCCCCCGGCCATGAGCACCCCAGGGTGGGGGTCTCACCCCAGAGTGGGGGTCTCACCCCGGGTGGGGTCCCCAGCAGGGTCCCTGCGGGATGCAGACCCCGTGCCGGCTCCTTTCCAGGTGATCCTGTCGGATTCGAACCCTCCGGGCGAGGTGCCCTTCTTCGAGACCTGGATGCTGACCTGCATGCCCGAGGAGGGGAAGATCCTCAACCCCGACCACCCCTGCTTCCGCCCGGATTCCACCAAGGTGGAGTCCCTGGTCGCCCTCCTCAACAACTCCTCTGAGATGAAGCTGGTGTAAGAACCCACCTGTGAGCCCCCACCCCAGCTTCTCTGGCCCCATGGCCGTGCCTGAGCCCCCCATCTCTTCCCTGACAGGCAGATGAAGTGGCACGAGGTGTGTCTGAGCATCTCAGCTGCCATCCTGGAGATCCTCAATGCCTGGGAGAACGGTGTCCTCACCTTTGAGTCCATCCAGGTGGGGCTGGTGGGGGGCAGAGTGGGGCTGTGCTGTGTCCTAAGGAGGGGCCAGGGGTCAAGATGCTCCAGGGTCCCCTGTTCTCCTGCACCTGCCATGGAGCTCACTGAGACTTGGGAGGGGAAAACTGATGTGGCTTCAGCCCTGTGATGCTGCCCTGACCCACTGGCTGGCAGTGGGACTGGCAGGGACGTCACCCATGGAGGAGGGAAGGGCTTGGACCCCGAGTTGGGACCCACAGGCCCCTGAGAGGATGATTGCCTGAGCATACCACCGTCTGTGCTCAGCCTCTGCTCCGTCTCGCTCTCCCTAGAAAAATCAGGACAACATCAAGGGGAAGGGTGTGCAGCAAATGGACAGTGTGTGCCCGTGGCCCTGGCTGGTGGCACCACGTCCGCATGCTGGCCTGGACCGAGCGGGAGAAGTCCCTGCAGATGATCCTTGGCTTAGCTCTGTCGACCCACCTCTGTTACGGGTGAATGAACACGCCTTCCAGTTCTACAACGAGGCGGTGAGCTGGGGCACAGCCTGTCGCCCTGCCCTGCTTCCTGCCTCCCACTGCCAGGCCGTTCCCTGCCCTGCTTCCCCTTGCCATGCCGTGTCTCCCTGCCCACCTTCCCAGTTCCCTCCATGATCCTGCCTCTCCTCTGCAGCGTGGTGCATCATGAGCCTCCATCCTGGAGCACATGTCGCCGACGTCCTGCAGCAAACGGCCACGCAGATAAGTTCCCTTCCACGGGCATGGACATAACACATTTCCCTACTGGAATCTCCTGCCCCCAAGAAGCCCATCAAGGGAGGTGGCATGACGCAGCGTGTTCACTCAAAGGTGCTGGAGAAAAGGGCTAGGTCGACAGCCGCCTCCATCCACATCTTCGACACCCTGCTGCACAATGGGGGGGTGTACTGTTTGCAACAACCTGGTTCAAGGTATGGGGGGCAGGAAGGACCCGTCCAGTGCAATGGTGGGAACGAATGGGTTCTGGCTCTGTGCTCCCAGTGGCCTCCGGTGTCCCTGGGCTGGCTGCTGGGCACTGGAGGGGAGGGGGGCAGACCCTTAGCCCTGCCACGGCCACCCCTCCTCCTGCCCTCCCTCCTCCTGCAGGAGCTGCTGAAGGAGACACGGAAGGAGCACACCCTGGGGCCGTTGGAAGCGTTGGCTACTATGCCATCTCTGCTGGAACATGCAGGCAGTGACGGCTGACGCTGCTGCCACATCCTGCCCAACCTGCTGACGGACTCCTCCAAGTGGCACACCCTCATGGACCCCCCTGGGAAGGCCCTGGCCAAGTAAGACCCCAGACCCACAGGAGACTCTGTCCCTGGGGGAGCCTGGCTGGGGAGGTGGGGAGATGCTGGGATAGAGGTCCCAGACACTCAAATCCCTCCCTGTGCCTGGCACAGTGCTGGCAGTTCCCACGCTGAGTCCATTCCCTGCTGTCCCCCTCTGAGGAGGGACCTGCTGTGTCCCATCCCTGGGCTCACACCTCATCCTCAGGTGGGCTGGCAGCACCTGGCTGTGTCCCTGCTCTGTCCCCAGGCTCTCTGTGTGGTGTGCCCTGAGCTCCTACTCCTCCCACAACAAGGGCCAGGCCTCGGCCCGGCAGAAGAAGCGGCACCGGGAGGACATCGAGGTGTGTCTGGTGTGGAGCAGGGGTTGGCAGGGGGCTCTTTTTGCCCAAAAGCAGCAGTGTCCTGGGAGGGGAGGGTGGCAGGAGTTGGTGGGTTAGACCAGATTCCCTGCCCAGATTCTCTGGGCTCTCTGAGGTCTTTTGACCTTAAAATCCAGGGTTTTCCTTCTCTTTCCTGAAGAAGGGACTGTAATAAGCTGGTCTGGATGTGTGCTGCCCAGGTTGGGATACTGTGAGTGAACAGAGATCATGGTCCTGGGCCCAGGGTGGGCCAGGACACCCCCCTCAGCGAGGGGCTGGTGGGGCTGAACCCCCTCTTTCTTTCCCCCAGGATTACATCAGCCTGTTCCCGCTGGACGACACGCAGCCCTCCAAGCTCATGCGCCTGCTGAGCTCCAACGAGGAGGATTCCAACATCCTCTCCAGCCCCAGTAAGTGTGGGGAATGGGGTGGGGGTGGCTCCTGGGAGGGCACCATCCTGCCTTGCTGTTCTTTTTGGGTGTGAAATGTGTATTTGAGCAAAACCCCTTCCCTTCCCAAACTGGCCGGGTGAGGATTTAGAGCCCTCAAGTGTTATTTCAGTTATCCTGGAAAAGGGAAAGGCAAAACTCTTTATTTCTCTGATCTGAACAACTTCAAGGGATGAGGTTACACCTTCTCTCCATGCTGGTGCCCCCCAACCCAGCACCCCACACCCCAGGGGCTCAGGGGGGCTTTGAGAGCCATGTCCCCCCAGCCACCCTGTGTGGGACCAGAGCTGGAGGTGACATTCCTGATGTCTGAGGCCAAATCCTGACATTCCAGTGCTGTGAGCAGAGCCTTGGAACACATCTGTGTCCCTGTGGTGTCACAGGTTGCGACAGCTCTGGTGGTCCATGTCCTGCCTGGCGGGTGCTGTCATGACTCCCATGTGCATTGTCCACACTCCTGGGCAGTGAGTCAGGACCTTTCCTGGTCATTGTTTCTCCCCTTATCCCGAATGTGCTCTTCAGTTATTAGTTTTCGACACATCCATTGACCTCTGGTTTCTTTACTGTCGAAATATGGGCTTTTCCCTTTATCTCACTTATCTTTTTTTAACTCCTGAGGCAGTCCCACCTCTTCTCAGCGACATTCAGGACTTTTTTGGGCTGTTTTCTGCAGTGATGTGGAAACACTGCTTCCTGCAGCGGCCACATAACTCATGTGATTCCATGAGAAAAGTGTGGGAGGGCTTTCTTTTTTTGGTGAGCATCCTCAAGAGCAGCACAAGGTGGGTCCTGCTGGTTTGGGCAGGAGCTGTGGACCATGGGGTCTGCACAAGAGCCTTCCCAGGGCATTTTCATCCTGTTGGAGCGGAGCTGGCCCAGTTCCTCCTACAGAAGCACCCAACTGGGGGCAGCTCAAGCCCCCTGGTCTATCCTGGGATTTACTGCTAGATTTGGACGTGCCTCAGCTCTGGTAGCTGGACTGCGCCCTGACAGTGAGATTGCAGAGCTGCTGTGCAGCTGTTGAACATCTGGCTCTCACACAGGATGTGCAACGTGTGTGTTGCTGCTCTTCCTCTCTCCTGATCCTGACATCCCCTGGGAGCAGCCTGGGGATCCCCCCCGGGCTCTTGGCTCTGTGGGGGCTGGCAGGGGGGACGTGGCACAGACTGTGCTGTGTTTCTGGGGTGCCCCAGTGGCACAGACTCACTTGGGGTATGTGGGGCCCAAACATCTTCTACTCCACAGGATCGTGGCAAAGCCCCTCCTGGAGCTGGGTCACCTTAAGTGGCTAGAGCTGGCCAGGGTGGGCACACTGGCACAGCCAAGGGGCTGTTCCTGACTCCTGTTCTGCTGCCCACAGATCGCTCCATGAGCAGCTCACTCTCTGCTTCCCAGCTCCACACCGTCAGCATGAGGGACCCGCTCAACCGCGTGCTGGGTAAGGTGGGGATGGGTCTGTGGGGTCACATCCAGCCAGGCTGGGACACCAGTGGGAGGTGTGGGCCACCCCCAGACCCCTAGAACTGACCTGACTGTTGATCTGTCCCTGTCTCCACAGCAAACCTCTTCCTGCTCATCTCTTCCATCCTGGGGGCCAAGACAGCTGGCACCCACACCCAGTTTGTCCAGTGGTTCATGGAGGAGTGTGTGGAGTGCCTGGAGCAGGGCAGCCGTGGGAGCATCCTCCAGTTCATGCCCTTCACCATGGTGAGCCCTGTGGCTGTGACACCCCTGTCCCTGCTCGGGGGTGTGCTGGGGTCCCACGGGACAGGGGCACATCTGGGGGTCCTGCAGCCTGCCTTGCCTGTCTCCATCTCTGGGGACACTCACTGTGCTTCTCCTGTGCCCCCGGGCAGGTTTCGGAGCTGGTGAAGGTGTCCACCATGTCCAGCCCCAAAATCGTGCTGGCCATCACTGACCTCAGCCTGCCCCTGGGCCGCCGCGTCGCTGCCAAGGCCATCGCTGCGCTGTGAGGGGACAGTGCCTGCCCAGGGCACATCCCTGAGCATCCCAGGGCACCTCCCTGCCAACCTGGATGCCTGGGATGGCTTCTGTCACTGCAGCTTGGCCTCGCCCTGCCCATGGGCTGCTCCCTCAGTGCCCGGAGCCATCCCTGTGCTGACTCGTGAGGGCTTCGAGAATGAGACGCCCCCATGATTTTTTCTATTCTATAAATAATTCAATCCTTTTGTAGAACCAGGTTTTGCCTCATCTCTGTCTGGGGTCCTGGGGCTCCCCAAAATCCCTTGTTTCGGGGGGTGATGGGGGACTCAGAGGCCAAGCCCTGTGCTGGGAAGGGGGGTTGAATTCCACTCTCCCTGTCCCAGACCCCTGGAGCGTTCCATTCTGCACTGGGTGGAGCAGGGATGCTTCCTTGCTGTGCTGTCAGCCACAAGCAGGCTCTTGTTGGGAATTCCTCCATGTGAGCGGGAGTTCTTGCTGGAATTCCTCCCCGTGAGTGTGAGTTCTTGCCAGAATTCCTCCCCATGAGTGTGAGTTCTTGCCAGAATTCTTCCCCATGAGTGTGAGTTCAGGCCGAAGTGAGCGTGGCACTGGTGGCCAGTGAGTAACCGCGACCTCACCAGCACTGCACCGGCCCCGTGCTGGGACAGGCTCTGCCAGGACTGTCCCCACACCCCATCAGCTGCTCTGGCAGTGAATCCTCCTGGAGTGTCACCAGCCCCCAACCCTGAGGGGGTGGCAGGGCCAGGGTGGCTGTACCTCTGCCCCTTCACTCATTGAGGGGGAAGCAGGGCCAGTGGGCACCAGCCCTTCCCTCTGGGCACCGCAGCTCTGGGACCGGGCTGTGCCTCTGCCCCCTCGGCACTGGTGGAGTTCCCAGCTCACTCCTGACTGCTCCTGGGTTTTCTGGAGGGAGAGATCCCAATGCACTGGGGGTAGCTGTGGGTGCTGGCTGGTCCTTGGCCTTCAGGGAGGGAGCTGCTTTCCCACTGCTCCCATGGGTTCATCCCTGGTCCAGGGCAGGTGCAGAGCGGCTGTGGGGGTGGATGGGGCAGCTAACAGAGCTGTGGCACGCACTAGGATGGGCTGGGATGGCCTCACCAGGCCTGACACCCGTTTTAGTGCCATGCTGAGCTGGCACCCACCTGCCTGGGCACCGCTGCTCGCCCAGGGGCGGCTCTTTACCGTTAGCCCGGAGCAAAGAGCAGGACCCGGCGCTCGTGGCCTTCCCGACTCTGTCAATATTTGCCTCGACAGCACCGTGCCTGGCATTGGCACTGGTGCTTCCCCTTCCAGGAAGGGGCTGGAGCGGGAAAAGGGGGTTTTTCCGTAAGCACCCATGAGGTGAGAGAGGAAGGAGGGAGCTGCTGCCCATGGGGGTGTGTGTGGCCAAACGCCTGGGAGCGAGGGCTTCCCCTGGCGATGAGAGCCTGGCCATCGGGCTCTGGCCTTGTGCCAGCCCCTTCCCAGGGCTGGGAAGGTGGGGGGAGGCAGGAACTCATCCCACTGGCCCCCCCTGGCCCTGGGCTCTGTCCCTGTGGGGCTGGGATGAGTGTGGCAAGGGATGCTGGTGGTCACAGGACCTGAGCGTGGGCCCGGTGGGAGGAAAGGGATCTGGTGGAGCTGAGGAGCACAGGGACAGCCCGGGCTGGGCGAGGCTGGGGGTGGCTGCAGGGGCTTTCTGGGGCAGGGAGATGCCCAGGGGTCTCCTGACATTGCCACATCCGTTTGTCCATCCGCCCTGCCACAGGCACCCTGCCTTCCTCACTGCTGGAAGCCTCGTCCCACTGTGGTCGCTCTGGGAGGGCTCTGGGCACATCCTGAGGCAGCTCTGGAGCAGATTCCCCCTGTGGCAGCAGCAGCAGAGGGGTGGGTGGGTCCTCCAAGCGCGGGTGGCTTCCGGAGCTTTCTAGGAATCAGCTCTTGCCCAAGTGATGCTGCCGGGGGTGGGAGGAAGCAGATGCCCCACGGGTGCCTCCCGGCCCTCAGGGGGCTCAGGCCATGGCGTGGGGGCACCAGGGGGGTTGGTTTCCAGTGGCACTGTGCACCACTGAACCGACACTGGCAGCCACAGCTCGACCTCAAGTGCCCCATTCTCTGGTCCCCTGTTCTCTGTCCCCGTGTCCCGATGGCCGGTCACTCCACTTCCCCCCCAAGCAAGCAGGAGACAGCAGGACAGAGCAAAAATAGAGTTTATTTCCATTTTTATCACAAATAAAAAAAGTAGCGTGTGTTCCTCGGGGCTGACCCAACTGCAGCAATAAATAGAGTACAAAACCCGCCGCCCCCGCGCCCGCAGCTCCCACACGGCCACGGGACCGGGGCTGCGTCAGGCTCAGGGGATGGGACCACGGCCAAGCAGCTCCTCCCGGCCAGGGATGGGCACAAATAAGTTAAACTGCAATAAATACCCTGAATTTAGCAGGGAAGGGGGACAGACCAGAGACAGGCCCCCCCCAAGCGCTGGTGCTCCCCAGAAAAGCCTCGTTCTGGGTGGGTTGCATCCCCCCGACATTTCCATCCTCCCCTCCCTCCCTAATGGCTAATAAATATTAATTACTGGAAATAACACCCATCAGATGTGGCCCTGCAGGCTGCAGCCCAGGCAGGGAGATGCTGCTCTGGAGCATCCTCATCCTCGGATGAAGGAGGTTTCCCGTGGGATGCTGCAGGTGGGACCCTGCAGCACAAACCGTGGGGAAACTGAGGCACAGGCGGTGCTGCAACAGCCGTGGGGGCTCGGCCCAGCTCCCGAACCTCGTAGCAGAGATACGCTTGTGTTTAAATATTAAACAAGGGTGATGCTGCACAGATACCCGTGCACGGATCCACCACGGGGACCCCCCGGACCGGGAGCATCCCCGGCCAGATAAATATTAAATAGCCATAAATATTAAATAAGCAGAAAACGGGGCGCTCCTGGGACGTCCCTCGGGCGGGACGTCCACGAGCAGGGGTCAGAGGCGGGCGAGGTTCCGCAGAGCCCGGTACGCCGTCTCCAGGAACCGCTGGAAGTTGGCCAGGATGAAGAAACCACCGACTTGGTGGTGGAAGTGGGAGGAGAAGGTGGGCAGGGGGTCCGGGTTCTCCGTGGGGTACGTCACTGTGGCCAGGCCCAGGTCCTCCATCTGCAGCCGGGCAGAGGCAAGCGGAATCAGCTCCGGGCTCAGAGACGCCCTGGGAGCTTGGAGGCATCCCGGGGATGCAGAGTGTCCCTGCTGGGCCCTCCCTGTGCCCCAGGAAAGCAGCCCTCCTGCCCCCACATGCCCTTCCTGGGGATACAGTGCCCACCATGCCCACCCATCCCTGGGGATTCAGCGCCTGCCATGCCCACCCAATCCCCCCAAACCCCCATCCCCCTCACCTGCTGCTGGATGTTGGAGGACAGGTTGGCTGTGTCCAGCTGCAGGGTCTCCACCAGCCCGGCATGGCCGGGCAGCAGGTCCCTCACAGCAGCCAGGGAGCCGTGGTAGACGCGGAGCCCGGCGCGGATCTGGTTGAAGCAGGTCTCCTGTGGTGGGCACAGCAACGGTCAGTGCGGACCAGGGGGGGCTCTGGGGTGCCCTGAGCTGTGGCAGAGCCAGCGGGGCTGAGACCTGCCAGGTCCTGGCAGGGGTGGGCTGCACTCACCGCCTGGAAGGAGCGGCTGTGGCACTGCTCCAACGGCACCTGCGCGATGTCCAGGTCCTGCCGCACCAGCAGCAGCTCTTCCTCCTTGCACAGCTGGAAGGTGTCACACTGCAGGCGAGGGGGATGGTGTCAGGACGGCCAGAGGACCCCGACACCCCCTGACATCCCATTCCTGGGGTGTGGGACCCCCCCACAGCCCAGCCAGAAGGAGGGATGGAGTGGACCTGCCACCAGTGTTGGCTGCCCTGGCTGGTGTGTGCCCAGGAGGGTCCCTACATGCCCCCGGTGGACCCCACAGGCTCCCAGCCCTGCAGAGCCTTGTCTGTGACCCCGGAGGTTCCACCGTCCCCCCTCTGTGGGACTCACCACCACGCGCTGCAGCGCGGCCACATCCCCGCGGACCTTGCGGGTGAACTCGAGGTTCCTCTGCAGGAAGAGCTGGAAGTCCTGGTCCCCGGAGAGCTCTGGCAGCGGTGCCCCGTGCAGTGCCCACCACGGTGCCCACAGCAGCACGCCCAGCAGCGCCAGCCCACCTGCGGGGACAACAGCTCAGAGCCCACCCGACACCCCGGGGACCCCGACCCCGTGCCCAGGGTGGGGTCAGCAACCAGAACCCCCCCAAAAGAGATAGGGGCACCAGCGCGGGCTGGGAAAGGGGCAGAGACTCCTGAATGGGAAGAGGGACGGGCACTCCCTGCATCCCACAGGTCATGGGGCAGTGCTGGGGGGCTCTGGGTGTGTGGGTGCAGCAGGTGTTACAGGAGGGGTGGATTTATGGGTGCTCTGGGGGAATTGGGCACTGTAGGTGCAGTGGGGGCAGTGAGTGAAGTGGGTACAGTGGGAGCAACAGGAGCAGTGAGAGATGTGGGGGCTGTGGGAGCAATGGGGGCTGTGGGTGCAATGGG